ACTGTCAACTCATTGTTCTTCGCCATATTCTTTGTTTACCCGTTGCCCCAAATGTCATTCTGCGGGAATGCGCAATCTTGTATTCTATCGTTCTTGAGCCTATACGATGAATGGTCCCATGTGCTTGTCATTGTATTTATATTTATTTGTACTTTTACTTGGTTAGTATTAAGGTTATTTTTTGTGTTGGCTGCTTTCATTATTGAGCCCTGGATCGGTGTTGTAGTCATATCTGGTAAATATGTTTCATACTTTGTTTGGCATAAATGTAGAATACCTACAATTCTCAAATTAAAAAAAAATTATATTGGGATCGATGGAGATCATTGAGGAGAGCGTAACGATATATATATATTTTTTTGGGGAAACAACAACTACAACAAGTATTAAAGGTCAAAGTTCAAACTAAGCATTGTTTTAAATTAATATTTCTCGAAAACCTCTTCAAGGATTTGGAAAATTTAATTCTCTTTAATTTGATACACATATTTATATATTTATTTATACATATACCTTTTATAGTTGTTGCTGAATCCAGCGATCCCACGCCCAAATTTCCAAAACACTCGTTTATGTAGTGAGATTTGAAATAACTGGTGTTTATATTTATCCATTAGTTACAAGTGCTTTACAGATATTACAATAGTACTTACTTTAGTATTTTCAGGGATCTATCTGGATTTAATTAAACAATGTAGAATTTCTCACGCTCCTTGTAAGAAGTAAAGGAAGAAAGGAAAGAAAACGTAATGTCAAAAAGCATCCTCAAGAAAATTTGTCAGTAGCCGTCACAGGGTGACACATCGCAGTTAGGGTGCTGCTGTATCTTTCTTAACAATAGTTTTCACAAAAATCGAATTAATGTGTTAATCCATGGTGGAATAATAACAAGGTGTTGTCAGTAGCGACGTGTTTGTTGTAATTTTGACAAGATCGGCATGCTTATTTTCAGTGCTTCCGATCTTAATTTTTATACTACTATACGTTGGGAAATAGTATCTAAAATACTCCATTTTAGTATTTCGTTTTATAGCGATTTTTATAGAACTTGGTGTTTTCAGAACGATATTAATATTTAAAATTGCTCCTCAAAATATAAAATTTAAAAGATATCGTGGTTATCAAAGGAAAAATACGTACACAAAAATCGTATGGAAAGGCGATTTTTTTATATTAAATATCTTTTGCTGCATTGTCATAATATCGAGCCAAATGGACTACTGATACACTAGAATAGAGCGGCAGCACGGTTAGATTACGATTTCGCTTATATTATCGGTATTTATGTGTTTTAATCTATTTAAAAAATCATATACAGTCTTATAGGAAATTTCTTTATTTTACGGCCTTTACTTTTTCATAACTTACAATATATGTCCAAGCTGTGTGGAGCTAACGATACAAACATATATTCAGGCTTATAAGCTTGTAACTATACATTTTCCTACATTTAATTTGAAATAGTATGCACAAACGGATTAAAAGTAATAAATAATTAGTACCTTTTCTACTACTTTAAAATGCGTGACCGGAATAGACCTGCCGAAAAAGTGAGGTTAAGTTACTGACAACACCTTGTTATTATTACACCATGGTGTTAATCTATAAGACTGAAGGCCGCCTGGGCAGAAAGAAGTTCTGAGCAGAAATACTTCGGCCTCTTTTCTGGCAACACAGAAAGAGAATTCTTTGTGAAGGTTACAATCTATAAGCGCGGCCGATGGCCGCCTACGCAGAAAGGTGTTCTCTGCAAAAGGTGCTCAGCGTCTTTTCTTCGAAACACAGAAAGAGAATTCTACTTTATAAGGGTTATAATCCCTAAGTGCAGCCGAAGGCCGCCTATTCAGAAAGAAGTTCTGCGCAGAAATACTTCGGCTTCTTTTTATGGCAATACAGAAAGGATAATTCTACTTAGTGAGGGTTACAATCCATAAGTGCGGTCGAAGGCCACCTACGCAAAAAGAAGTTTAAACACAAAAACACTGTATACTTTTTTCCACATTAATTAGATTTTTGTGAAAACTATAAAAGGTATATGTATAAATATGTACACTAAATTAAAGAAAATTAAATTCTCTATCAAATGACATCAAAATGTTTTAAATCCTTGAAGATGTTTTCGAGAAATATTTATTTGAAAAAATGTTTAATTTGAACTTTGACCTTTAATAATTGTTGTAGTTGTTGTTTCCCAAAAAAATATATATATCGTTATGTTCATCTCAATGGTCGCTATAGATCCTATTTTTTTTTTAATTCGAGAATTGTAGGTATTGTACATTTGTTCCTCCTCATCATCCAATTTATGTAGTAGTCTCTTTATTCTTATTTGTGTTTTTGTAGTTTCCTTTTTTTTAATATTTTATTAAATTAAATTTTGTTCTTAGTATAGTAGTAAATTCAAGTTTTAATTTATTCCTCTTTTTCTTGTATTGAGTTGCTAATTACGCAGGCCTTCTTTTCGTGTCTTTCCCGTTAGAAGTACAGTTCAAGAATGTTCTCAATGTTTCCTCTCGTAGACGAATTGCCACTCGAAAATGCCGTGCTTACTGCCCGTCTCCACCAGTGTTGCCGCGTATTATTTTTAGTGGTAGCCAAATCCCTTTAAAAAAAGGGCTAAAAAAGAGCAAAAAAAGTCATTGTTGTTAAAAATGGTTGCTAAAATTTTTTACTTACATATACATATATAAGTATACACGCAAACATTTTCAATAAGTAATGGTATAGAAAAACAATGAACTCTGGATAAAAAGCAAATATTTTATCCAACCAAAAACGTTTTTGTATAAAAGGGGAAATATACGACACCAGCTTGCTCGGCTCCATCAATTGTTGATTGTACCATCAGGCTCGAAGCATATAACTTACCAGCATGCTGGTACAATATTTATTTCTTTAGAAATGAGGTCGAGGAAAGATCGAAATGATTAGAGCCGAAATTTCATAATTTTTCTACCATTTGGTCAAGCATTGTTTTGTTTTTAATATTTTTATTGAGCTTTGTACCACGATTGTTTATTAGGAAAAATTGAAAAAGCAACAAAGTCTAAGCGGTAGAAGTTATAGCAGCTATTTCGGAGATCACCACATCTCTTCATCAGACTTCTTTTTTCTAGACTTCAGCAGGGATCGAAAATTGAGCTAATTTCACCACTCACGACACCAGCATGCTGATACAATCATAAAATTTTCAAATAGTTTTCGAAGTCGCACCAGCAGTTGGTACAATCATACCACAATAACATTTTCTATGAGCAATTACCACGTCAAAAATGCACTAAATCACCAGTTTCCACTTTAAAAAACACTATTAAAACGTCTCCGGTTATTGTTTTATGCAAACAAAACCATTTATTCACTTTTATTTTATTTAATTCGTTAATAAAACAGAGTAAGCAAACTTTGCGCCTGCCAAAATTATTATAACCTCAAATCGTTGGTATTGCCACTTTATTTCACATTTCATTAACGCTTTTACCCTCTGTTTACACTATGCACTTCTTCCAAATTTTTTACTTTTACCTTTGACGGTAAAATTTATATATATATGCGGTTTACTTAAAAATTAGTTAAAAATATATAAATATCTCCGTTAAATATATATATATTTAACTGATTTTTATAAAAAACCGCATATATATATAAATTCGACGGTTTAATTTTATATATATATGCGGTGTACTTAAAAATCAGTTAAATATACATATATAAATATCTCCGTTAAATATATATATTTAACGGGGATATTTACCGCATATATATTTCCACTTAAAAATCAGTTAAATATATATAACGTTGATATATAAAGTAGTTGGCAACAATACAGAAAAGCACTGAAACACTGCAAACGCCTTGTAAGGAAAAATGAATTATTACGAAACGCTAATACAGTGGCAGCACTGCAGCTATTTTGCAATCTTGCGTCTCAGTTCGGAAAGATTGTTAACTATTTTTTAGTAACAAAATAAATATTTTATGTTGAAAACTATGTGTTTGCTTAATAATAAAGTTAAATTATACATTTTAATAATAATAATAATAGATTGGCGCTTACACATATGTTAGTGTTTGGCCGAGCTTCTCCTCCGATTTGTGGCGTGCGCCTTGATGTTGCTGAAGCTGTTTTCACTACACCACAGCGGCCTTTTTAAGCGATTAAATCCGGCAAAAATATGTTGTCGAAGCTATCTTACAAATGCTTATATCAAGATATAAAAAGCCCACACAAATGTTGCGCCTGATATAACTTACATCTAACGACCAAAATGACAACTGGGCAGCAATAAATTTTATCTTGTGGAGACGGCAGTTTCTTTAATAAATTTAATACATAGTTGATTGTGGCTTTGTGCGTTCATAAAGTTGAAATTGAGTCAGTTTGGCATAAGGTTGGGAATGTTTCTCCTGCAGTGTTGTATTTTGTACATTCGTGAACTGGGCATGAAGCACCTAACTTTGAAGCGATAGTCGTTCAAACGATACTGACAAAACGACGTCGTCAAAACACTGATTTATGCAATTATGTTGCTGTTACGTGTTACTGTTACTTTTACGTGAAGCAAAACTGGAATCGAGTTGACGATATCGCACAAACAATCAAACAAATTTTGGTTTTCATGAAGCAAGACAATTTCGACACGATATCGTTCAGATGACTGTTGTCATACGTGATTTTTGCCCTGGTCGATGTTTGCAGGTACATTGCAGACATCGCAATTTATTTCATCCTGGATGTTTAATTTAAAAGTTAAATTGCATCTCTATCAGCTGTTTATCCAAGGCAAATTCATATAAGGTGGTAGCGGTAGTACAAAACCAAAAACTAACATGTATTTTGTTTTCGCTTTCGGTACACAAACATCAAATTTCGCTCAAAGAGGAAGAGCGAGTTAGGAGTTTTGACATATGTGAACAAGGCGAACTTAGCACAGTGCGTAAGCAACTGGCTGAGTCAGTGGGATCGTCGGTTCGAATCCTACTGAAAGAAGTCTGATGAAGAAATGTGGTGATTTCCGAAATAGCTATCACTTCTACAATTTTTTCAAATTATTGTTGATTTTCCAAAATAAATTTTCATTAAAAAACGGCCTCGAGCTCAATAAAAATTGTTGAATATAATTGTTATAAGGCCATAAAATAACAAAAAACAAATAACTTAAGGACGAGCACACCTCAATAGTTAAACATTATAATAATAGAAATATTCTGCCTTATCATGAGTTTCGCCTGAAAAAAAAATTCACGCGAAAATTTGTTACCCGCCCTTAGTAAAACCATGGAAACCAAAAGTGAAAAGTGAACCGGCTCGGGGAAAATGAAACTCATGATAAGGCTGATTAACAAAAACCAACAAAACCAACAACCACATGATCAAGTGAATTGCAGCGGAATAGCTGCGCTTGATTGTAGTTGGCTAAAAATGTGAAATAGTGGACAACAAGAATTAACAAGGCGAACTTAGCACAGTGCGTAGGCAACTGGCTGAGTCAGTGGGATCGTCGGTTGAAATCGTACTGAAAGAAGTCTGATGAGGAAATGTGGTGATTTCCGAAATAGCTATCACTTTTACCATTTTTTCAAATTATTCTGTTCTAGCAACACCACCTTATATGAATTCGCTTTGTGTTTATCAAAATATATTTCGTTTGCAATACGTTTTTTGTGATATGCAGCCAAACGTCAAGCCTTTCAAAACTAATTTTAATCAAAAATTTTTTTTTGGTGGAGATAGTTGTTTTTAAATTAATGCACTGTGCCCGAATCGCGGCATTCGTGATCGTATGATTACTCGTTTCGGATCGAATGAAACAAAATGGCTGCTGTTTTCTCCACAACACAATTTAAACGAGCGCACAGTGGTCGGAGAAGCTATGTTGTACGCGAAAAATTAGAAGGGCTGTTACGATTATGATAAAAATTCATCATCGTAGTATTTTAGTTATGCTAAATCTGAATGTGATATAAAATGATTAGCTTGACAGTTGACAGGTGTCAAATCAACTTCTAATTTCCCTAAAAATAAGAAAATCTGTCAAACGGATTGCCAGTTTTTATAAAAATCAGAGAATCTTTTTAGAATCGTTACTAATAAGGTTTTTAAACATGCTGACCACGAATTCTACGTCAAATTAAAGCTTTGAGAGTTGACAGTTGTCAAATTAACTGTTAACTTTTCTGATAATAAGAAAATGTTTTTTAAATGCTACTGGTAAGGGTTTTAGACACGCTAGTCACGAATTTTACGTGAAATTAAAACCTTGAGATTTGACAGTTGTCGAATTTTATCTATTTCTCTAAAAATAAGGATAACTTCCCAAATAAACGTGCTACGTTTTAAGGCTCACTGATCTCGAGTTCTATATTACCTTCCAATTTTTTAAGTTGAACAACCCTATTCCGGTTTTGCAATAGAATGACAATTGATCATCCTTCATTGTCATTTTGTCATTGTCGTTGCACGTTGGCATTCCTAACAAAAAATTACAAGCGAAAAGCTTTTGTCAACTTACCATGCATGGTGAAAAGTTCATTGTTGTAGAAACAACTGGTCAACGCTATTATTTGCAAAAGTTTTCAATTTTTCCTAATAAACAATCGTGGTACAAAGCTTAATAAAAATATTTAAAAAAAAAATAAATAAAAAATAAATAAAATGTTAATAAGCCACAATAACATTGACAAATACATAGTTTAGGAAGAGCCTGCCTGAAACTATACAAAAAAGCAAAATAAGCAAATGAATGTATAGAATTGACAACAACCACGCTGTCGAGTTTAAATAGCGGCAAATCAGCTGCACTTGATAGTTATTATCGGCAAAGAAGATAAACGATTTTGTTTTAATAGCAGCTATAACGTTTATTTAACAAATTTAGTTATGAAAGTTAATTATAAAATATTACAGCGTAGCGCTTTAAAAACTTTTGTCTTTTCTCGTCCTCTTACTTTGCTCCGAATAAAAAGTGCGAAAGGAAAAATAGAAAACTTCAGTACATGCGCAAGGTCGCATTTATGATTGAAGCATTAGGGCTGGTTTCGACGGCAACAATAGTAGTTAGTTGAATAAGGAAAATGAATTAGCAACAAGAGTTTACGGGATGTACATAGCTCAGTGGTTAACGATTCTGACTTTGAACGTCGAATTCGCAGGTTCGATCCCTGCTGAAGTCTTGAAAAAAAGAAATCTTATGAAGAGATGTGGTGATCTCCGAAATAGCTGCTATAACTTCTACCGCTTAGAATTTGTTGCTTTTTCAATTCTTCCTAATAAACAATCGTGATACAAGGCTCAATGAAAATATGAAAAATAAAATGTTAATAAGCCACAATAACATTGACAAATACATGAGCGCTGAAACACCAGAAAAGTGAATATTTGTGTGAAATAGATAAATTCGTATATCCGTAGCAAAGTGGAAAGATGTAAGTTTTGTATATTTACATACATATATATTTATGTATTTATATCTTTCATTTATGCATGAATACATTTGCATACACACATTATTTCGCAGACATTAGCGGCGTGGAAAAATCAGCTACGCTGCAGTGCACGAAAAGTGCATGTGGATGTAATTGGAACAGGTGGGGGACTACGGACGGCAGACATCTCTCATTTTTTTCACAAATTTATTAAATCGTCGCACTTTTTATATCAACACAAACATATGTTTTTGCCTTGTCACCTGCCCAAAAGGTCATGACAATAAAAATGACAATTGGCATGATTCGAGCTTTTGAATTTTGCTGGGAATTCCAAAAAGCTGCAATTGTCATTTTTATATCAATAGTCATCGCGGTGAGTTTTGTCAGTGTGGCGTAATAGGGCTGGAAATGTGTCAAATCACGGCATTCGTGATCGAATGAAACTCTGAAATAAAATGATAGCTATATTCTCCCAAATTTAATTAAAATTGAAAAAGTGAGCTCACTACTAAATTAAGTAATCTCATTGGCGCGTATTCATAGTCCAGCAACTAAGTCGAAACTAATAAAGTTGCAACTTAAATTTAAGTACCAACTTAAAATTTACCTCTATTCATAGTCGCATTTCAGACTTTTACTAAGTAGTTTCGACTTAGTTTACGATATAGCAAAACGAGTGTGAAAATGTATCGATTTTTCTTTACGATATTTTGGAAAAATTACATTTTTATTAAATAATATCAAGTTTGATCATCCGTTTATGTAATTTTTATTTTCATTGCATGATTATGCAAAAGAATAAGGTATCATTTTCTTGTAAATTGTTTGAAATAGCCAGAACAACCGCAGTGATGTGAAGTCGATGATTATCGAAAGTATGCTGTGAAACATACAAATAGTAGATATCTAAATGTTATGCACAAATTTACTTTAAAAGAACTAGCGTGAAACGGACTTATTATTTGAAATTTATCTAAATTATTCCAATTATACAATTGTGATGTAGCTTTATTCGAATTGTAATACGCATTTAATTTCATCTTCCGATTAAAATGATCGATCTTTGTAAATTTTAATTGGAGTTTATTCATTATTATCAAAATCACCCTCTTCCAATTTAATTTTTACATATTTCGTCTGTTTTCCCTTAATTTGATAAAATACTTCTTCCTAGTTACGACTTAGTTGCAGCTGCAGCCGAAACTAAATTTTAAGTTGGTACTTAGCCAGAAAAGTCGAAACTAAGGCGACTATGAATAGCTTTAGTTGTGACTTAGAATAGTTTCGACTTAGTTGAGTACTAAATATGACTATGAATATGCGCCATTGAGATTATCTCAAATAGATTTTCGATTTGAGTTTGATTCTCAAACCGAAATTTGATTTTGAGATCGCGGCATTCGATAGACCCCTTTCAGACACGTCAAGTCTTGCTTTCAAGTCTGCTCGGTTCGTTGGCGAAGGAGGTGAGCTGAGAGGGGAAAAGTACTTTCGTTCCGCCTCCTTCGCCTACGCACGAGCAGACTTGAAATCAAGACTTGACGTGTCTGAAAGGGGTCTATCGAATGCCGCGATCTCAAAATCAAATTTCGATTTGAGTTCCGTTTGATATCGAATGCCGCAATTCGGGCCCAGAATTACGGCATTTGTGATGGAATCAAACTCAAATCGAAAATCTTTTTGAGATAATCTCAATGAGATTACTTAATTTGGTAGTGAGCTCACTTTTTCAATTTTAAATAAATTTGGGAGAATATAGCTATCATTTTATTTCAGAGTTTCATTCGATCACGAATGCCGTGATTCGGGCCCAGTGTTATGGATAGGTTTATTGTTGAATGTTTTATTGACGTGAAATACATTTTTTGTTTTGTTTATTTATATACAGCGTTATAACAGGAGTACAGAAACAATAATTACAATAACTACGCATAATTCAGTAAGAAACACAACGACTACATCACTTTGACATTGAGAACAACCGAGGAAAAAGTCCAGCTGCTCAGATAAATCTGAATTCGCCTTGATTTATCCTAAATGAGTAAAACTATTAACATTGTTTCTTTTTAAAAAATCTACCAACTTCTACCATTTTGTATGTAAAATCTACCACTACACACTATCTGCAAAAATACTGTGGATAACGTAACCGGAGTTGGACAGATAAGGATATTTTTCTAAGCGCAGCCGAAGACCGCCAATGCGGAAAGGTGCTGAAATACTGTGGACGTTCAAAAAATTCAAGTTGATATTAACAAGGAAGGTAACAACTTGGAAGCTGTGGCCCGTGGACCGTCGTTGTCAATGTGTTTCAAGCTTTATTCGTGTTGCCAAGGCAAATTCATATAAGGTGGTAGCGGTAGTACAAAAACAAAAACTAGCATGTATTTTGTTTTTGCTTTCTATGCACAAAAGTCAAATTTCAGCTATTTTTCACTCAAGAGAAACGAGGGAAATAAAATTCAACACTCTCACTTTCCCACTCATTCATAAAAAATTTTGACAATTGTGTACCGAGAATTCAACCAGCTGTTCTGGAAACACCCTAATAGTAGCGTTCTTGTACGCGATAGTTTGTACCAGTTTGTACTAACTATCAAGTTTTGCCGTTCTTGTACCAAAAAAACTGGTAAGAAAGGGGAAATTGAAAGGGAAAAGTGAGATTTCTTTTTGAGGAGAAGTTGCTAGTTACTGGATAAATTTTTACTTGTAAGAACTAGCAAGTGAGAAAAACAGCTGATCACATGTTGCTGGGTGCCAATAAAAGAAATGTTTATGAGGTTTTTATAGTGGAAATTGACAAAATAAACCTATTTAAATATGATATATATTGTTTTATTGGCAACTAGCTTCGAATAAACAACAAATTAATCAGCTGCTCGTAAAACTTGCAAATTCTTACTGGTTTTTCGACCCAGTTTCGAAATTTAACATAAGTTTTTGTTCATAACTTTTAAATGGTTAATAGTATTATCTCTCACCCTCCGGATTGTTATTAGGAGGGCCGAAACGCGTCGTTTAGCACCCTTCCCGACTTTTCCGCACCTTTTTTAGGGGTTGTTACCCCACCCTAGAGAATTACCAGAGCGAATTCTCAGAAATTGTTACTAGAGAGTTACTGTCAAGTTACTGGATAATTTGTAAAAGAACACAACTATTATATAAATTCGCAACGGAAAGTTCTATATAGATTTTCATTAATTGACAGCTCGATACGTGTGTAGGTGCTTTTAGTTTATACTATATTACAAAAATTTTGGAACGCATTTAGTTGTGTATCGATTTATGTATATCGAGTCTTGTTATACTGCGTCGTGTGTTCTTCGTTCATCTTCGTCTCTCGATAAGAAAAATAGAAGTTTCCATGCTTTTTCGGTGCATTGCGACGAAATTTGCAATTTATTTACGTTATAAGGCGTGAAAAAAGTATCTTATATAAATATAAAAGCACAAAAACAAGAATATACAACTCCTTTTTTACGAAATAGGCATTGAGAAGTCTATAATCGTGATAAAAGGACTTTGGGAAATCAATCAACAGCAGACAACATGGCCGAAGATTTCGATGTTGAAGCGATGCTGGAGGCACCATACATGAAAAATGTAAGTTTAGAATCCATAATTTCGTTAAAAAATATATATATTTATATTAATCATTCCATGAGGGCATAAAATGGATTGCAGTGAGGATATTCCATAAACATGTCTAAAAATTTTGCATGTTTTCGGAATAAGATCCTAAAAAATTAAAAGCGTTTTGTGCCATATTAGACTGTAGTGTCTCCCTAAAATACATATGTACATAAATTCATACTCTATGATAAGCCTATACTTAAACGAAGTGCATTCGCTCTCGAGGGCCCATTCTGTATGCATGTATGTACGTATGTAGATATGTATGTACTATGTAGATACAAGTGTATGTAAACGAAAACGCTCGCATATTTTACTAATCCAAAGTAAAACATTTTGTTACGCTTACGTGCTTGTTTTCAGATCACGTAAATAAGTTCTGATAAAACACCAAGGAAATGAGCGAAGTTGACCTGGTAAATATTGGATATTTATTATGGGAGAGTTCATTCTTGAATGAGAAATTTTTATATATGGTAAAGATCTTATAGTTGCTCAACCTTCTTCAAAGGTAATGCTCCGGACCCGATTGAAAGCTCCGGATCCGGAATTTTTTTGCTATTTGATTTTTGCGAAAGCCGCGGATTTTTAATCAGGTTCCTTCCTGTACAATCTGGATCCACATTTGGCATTATTAATAAATAACTATTTAACGATTCAAAATATAGAAACAGTCCCTTCACTATTCTTTAAAAACACACAAAATAAAGGCAAGAAACGTGTAAACAGCTGATATAAACTTTCAAACTTTATTCATTTGTAGCTACTAGACATGTGCGCAAGACGCTTAAAAGTTTACAACATTACCTTCGTCTCAAATGCGTGTATTGATTATCGTCGTCTTTGAAGTTGAGTGTACGGCGAACACAGAATATAGAAACACTTACTTATTTTTGTATCAATGGAGTAACGCAATGCAAGTCGCCACAAGAAATCTTACATTTATTCGATTACCTCCAATGACATGCACATGTTAAAATTTTGCGTTCTGTAAACGAAAAGGTAAGCGGTTACTATCGAAAAATGATTCCCAAATCAGGGGTAACCGCTTACCTTTTCGTTTACAGAACGCATTATTTTAACATGTGCATGTCATTGGAGGTAATCGAATAAAGGCCATTGCATTACAGGTAATATAAGCGAAAACCGTCTTGAGGCGACTCTACTGATACAAAAATAAGAGCTTCCCAAAAAATGAAAAGTTTTTGCTGGGAAATGCAATACCAAATACACGCAAGCTAAAGCACAAATACAATACCAAATACACACCTACAGCCCACCACAAAAAATTAGTATTCTTTGTTTTTGCAAAACACTGAATAAATTACAGAAGCAGCAGCACCCGCGGAATGAGCACGTACACGTGTTATTACTTTATGTACACCATAGTGTCAACTCTATTGTAAATTGAAATGAAATAGTGAAATGTGCTTCGTCACTGCAATACACAATCGCGTTGCTCCGCCGGTAAAGCAATTAGTCGGTTCCTGTGAACTTCGGACTAAAACCTGTGGAACTATCAAACTACAATTTTACTCTCTCAAGTGAGAGTAAAAGGAGAACAGATGTAGAAATGCACGGGAACGCAAAAAGTATTATTTCCTGTAAAAACGTTAGTCGGTTTGTTCACATGTCATTTGTACACCACTGATTTGGTTGAAATATCACTAATTAATTAATTAAAATCTATACATATTCAAATATATCGTTGTTTACTTAAATTTTTTTTACAAATATAAGGCTCTTTGCTTACACCGCTTTCTGTTCTTATTTGCACATGGAAATCAGCTGATCGTTTGACACTTTTCATGAACTTACAGGAAAAAACCCCCTGTACTAAATCCTGTAACTTCTGACTAGGAACAGTTGCTCAGTTACTCTCAAAAGTGTTCCCACTTACAGGTTTTATGTTAATAGGAACGACTTCCTGTAAGCTCTGACTAAATCCTGTAAATCGGACTGCTATTGGAAGAGACTAAGTGTACACCGGAGATGAAAAAGTAGGTACAATTGTACCTTTCCGACATTTGATGACTTAAAGTTACATTCGGTACAGTCATTAGATTTTACGTACAATCATCTTTTGATCAGATGCATTTTTAGTTCTCTTTTTCCTTTTACTTGTAGGCACGGGAGCAGCTTCGCTGTCATTTTTAAGAATAAACAATTCTAAAGAAAAGTGGTCAAAAGGAAGAAATTAAAAAAGTCATTATGTATTATCTTAAACATTTTACATTGCATTTAGACCAGCCACTACGAAAAATTAATACTTTACTTAGCTATCCTCAAATTCGTAATTTTTCTATTAATTTTAACGCTTATTTTCACTAAGCCAAATTCAATGGCATTTGCGGTCAAATGAGTGAAAAGAAATTGTTAAATGGGACTAAAAAATGGTCTTTATTTAGATCGGAATAGGCCTTCAGGCGTGCACATGCGCTGCTAAAGGGGCTATTTGTAAGTTTTTAGTCCATAATATCATCGTAGGTAGGGATAAAGGAAAGAAAGTTGTGTCATAATATGTCGACAAATCTTGTTGTCAAAATATGACATAACGAAAACCAGCCTTTATTCGCCCATACAGTCCAGTGTCTAGGATGTCTTCAAATTTCATATTTTCTTTAGTTAAAAACTATAGCTACTTGTCCCATATTCGCTTTTTGATTTCTGGCAATATAAAACATTTATTTTATGATATTAGGTACAATCTGAAATTTCCATTTTTATCATCCCTGGTGTACACTATGAAGACTATGCAAGCAAAATGTTTTGCGATCACTTTTAGTAGCTACCCAGAGAAAAAGTATGTGGTATTTCGGGAAGGAAGAAGCCATGATCCAATAAGTTCGAATTTTCGCGCTCTATTACCCTTTTTTGAGTACGGGAATGATTTCTGGGATTGCGCGTTGGGTATACGAAATAACCTATTTTGCGCTCTTATCCGGATATCCATTAATTTTGCCATCTGGACATCTGGTTAATTATCCGTTCATGTTGGTAATATTCGGATATTCTGACTAGTTCTGAACATTTTCTGCCACACAAGGAGAGAAAAACAACAACAAACAACCACCACAGAAAAAAGTTCTGAACTAAAACGATGAATCTGCCTTAATATATTTTTTTTTGTTTTGTATTGCTCTGTTACAATTTTCAAAACCACTTCCTCCTTGAAAGATTAGCATTTTCGTATTTTTTTGCGTAGTTCTCTAATTGAAAGGGATTCTCGGAAATTTAGATACTGGCAAGTTACCGATTTTTTTTAGAGAAAGCGCGAATAGCAAAATTCGCAAGTTTCTTCATAAATGTTAAAAATAATGCCGCTGATGCGCATTTGGGGTAGGTATCTTAAATGTGCACCTAATAATAAATTATTTGAACTTAAAAATTATTTATATTCATTCATTTGGAATATTGCGTATTTACATTTACACTTAGGTATTTTTTTATGCGGTACATGCGTTTCTTAGAAAGCCACATATAAAAAATCTGCATAAAAAAGTTCTTTATTTTCATACAAAAACGGGGGTAGCGTTCCAGCATTTTCAAAACCGCGTATATTCAGATACTCTAGGTAAAGAATTCAAAAAAACCGCGCAAAAAAAAATCCAGTGTGGCAATATTAGGCAAAACAAAATTTATTTCTTCACTTCAACACTTAATATTCCATGTAAAACTGAACATTTATGAAATAAATATAGTTTTATCCGTATTTTAACCAACAACAAAAAAAAAATACCTCAATAAATACATGTATGTAAGAATACAAAGACAAATTAATTATCAGAAGCTCTCTCTCTTACACACTAAAAAAAAGTAATAAGCAACTCTCAAAAAAGCAAATTCGCTACAGCGAAAAAATGGTGGGATAAAACCGCATGAATTAAAATCTGCATAACAAGAGGCCTAAATGTATTTGAATTCACATTGTTTCTCTAATCGATCTCGAATCGAATAAAAATTTCTCTACCGTTAGAGACTGTGTTTGCTGGGAAGGCACAGGGGTGCCAATCGAGAGATCCGAGTTCCAGTTTTGACGCAGCACATTTTTTTTTTTCGTTTTTTTAATCTATATTTTTTTCCTTTTTTAATGTAATTTTTCCGATTTTTAATTTTTAAATATGATATAGTATCATGGTGGAATAATACAAGGTGTTGGATATTGACAGCGTTCTCGCTCTAATCCGCCATCTTGGCTCCCTTAGCTATATCGGTGTTTCCCTCTTGAAAAAACTACATTTTATCGCCTTTAAAAAAGTACTAAACTACCTCATTCCCTATTCCAAAACTGATTTGCAATCACTGAACAATTCTTTGACATTTACTCTATTCTTATCGTTGGCAACTGAAAATTAAATTAGAAATTTCAACATTAATTCGGCAAAAAAACATCGGTTTAGAGTAGAGAGATTTGTAGTTATTTTGGTCGGTGCTTCCTTCCGCTGCAATTCCGTCTGTGGTTCACTGCCACTGGCCTTGCTTTTTCAACGATATAACTGTTTTCTTGGTAAGTTTAGATGGAAGATTTAAACAAGAACTACGTATTTAACTATGCATCTATTCCCCAGTGATTTTTGCTGCTGCAATCCCGTCTGTGGTTCACTGCCACTGGCCCTGCTTTTCCAACGATATAACTGTTTTTTTTGGTAACTTCTACCGCTAAGACTTTGTTGCTTTTTCCCTTTTCCCTAAAAACATAATAGTGCTACAAAGCTCAATAACAATATGGAAACAAATGTTAATAAGCCACAATAATATTGACAATAAATAAGATTTCACTACGATTGAATTTTCTATTAGTAACAGGGTAGTTATAGTGAATGTTTTATTCGATAACTAAAACTATATTTGATGTTTGTAGCGATAAAAATATGCCTAAATCAGCCAAATACCCTATGTGGGTCGGCTGAATCAGTAAAACGTGACAGTAGTTGACTTTTGAGGTTAATATATCGGTCTTGAGTTGGTAA